AAAAGTCAAAAGCTAAGCATGATCAGTGTTTTAATGGGGTACCAAGGACCATAAGCTAAACTGAAAAGTCAAAAATGGAAAACTGCCAAGGTTAGCAAGAAAATCTATATAGTCAGTAGGAGTCAAACTGAACCTGAGGGAATTTTTTTTCTTTAAAAAAAAAAAAGGCAGATGTTTGCTACATTGTTCCTCTGGTTTGCCAGTAAAAGGGGTGATGAGGATATTTAATTTTAAAAAGTAGACTTGTACCTTACTCAAATCTTTAGAATTTTTTTTATTATATCTTTTTAATCACTAGGTAAAAAAAAAAAAATTAGTCCATTACAGTAACAATGCAGAGGTATCAATTACTTATCCTGTTGAGAAATAAATAGCTTTCAGCCCACTAGGACATGGGATGGGAGAAAAAGATGCAAGATCTTAACAGGTTTGCATATACACTTGTTGCAGAACCCTAGAATCTTATAACTTAATTCTTCTTCTTCCCTATATCCTGTTGTCCCAAGATCACACATTTTAAACTAGTGATTTTCAGCAATAAATATAGGATTCCATAGGGACAATTACAATATAGAGCTTTATAGTTACAGTATCTACAGAAGCAAATGTTTACACATTATAACACAGTTTTGACCAGCTACAGGACAGATGTCCAGATACTTTATCATCTGCTTTTTCAATGCAGAAGGTTAGCCCAAGTGCTAACTCTTCCCCCTTGAAAGAGGAAGAGTTATGGATAAAGCAGGAAGATTCTGAGGGTCTGCACAGTGGCCCCACAGGTTGGTGATTCCTCATCTCTGCTCTACATGCACACAACATAAAGAACAGCGAGGGAGCATAATAAATAACTGTCCAAGAAATAGAATGGCAAGAAGTCTTAAGAATGAACCAAGATGTATAGCAATCAATACTATAGAAATGTTTCCATTATGTAAGTTAAGGCAGGCCCCTACATAAAAAGGACAGAGTGTTTTTATGTGTAGTACTGATACCCAGAAATTTCTTTTTTCATTAGGTCAGATTTGGTAATTTTGCTGTCTGCCTTTAGAAAAATTGATAAAATGTTTCAGTAGGTGTGCTTGTAATGTGTGGGTTTTTAAAATTGTTTTTTATCTCCTTTGTTTAAACTTTGTGTGTGCTGTGATTAAAGTTAGCAACTTTCCATTTTTTTGTGTGTTTAAAGTTGAAACAGGTTAGGATGCCATATCTGTGAAAAGAAGCACTATATACTATACAATTAAAACAGAGTTCAGCACTTATGGTCAGCAAAGTTCACTCTGTAAAAAAATTGTTTCACACAAACTATGCAGGCAGACCAAGTGTGTATTTTAACTATTAAAAACACAAATCTGATTGAAGTCAGCGTTAAATCCTAGAAAGCAGCAAAATGTCAGAACTGCCAGGCTACTTTAACTGATCAACAAGCCAATGTTCCAATGTAACCAACTTCTGCTCACATGAGGCCTATCCCTAAATCTTTTCATTAATCTGTTTTGGAAGACATTCCAACCTTCTGGAACAAATGTAAATGGCAAGCAGATAGATGGAATGCAAATGAAGAATCCAATCCTGTGGCAAGGACTGTTTCATCAATGAATTACTTAAAAATTCATAAACTTTTAATGAGCTCATGCAAGAACCAGAGACGATTATTTGAATAACACTTCCAAAACTGGGTTTCATGGGATACAACCCTGTTTATGCTGTCTGTGTAAAATTTAACTTGGTAACAGTTGGCTAGTCTTTCTTTATATAGGTAAACTAAGAACCATTCAATTTCTTGAATAAGATTCATAATAGGTTTCTTTTTACAAAACATTGAGTTTTGATTTCTGTTTATTATCCTCAAACTCTTAAGGTTGTAACATATCTAGGAGTTACAGCTTATTTACGAATTTTTACAGCAGTTACTTAAACAAGTACAGGTAGTTCTCACTTACTGACCGCAATTAGGAGTGACAACTCCACCACCAACTCTGTTGTGAAACATCACGTGACCATGCCAGACTTATGACATCAGTTCCACTGTGGTCATTAAGTGAATCATTGTGGGACATCACATGACCGCGACTTGTAACTTCCTGCCAGCTTCCCCATTGACTTTGCTTGTTAGAAGCTGGCTGTGAAGGTTGCAAACGGTGATCATGTGACAGCGGGACTCTGCAACTGTCATAAATGCAAGCTGGTTGCGAAGCGCCCGAATTGCAATCACATGACCACTGCATTGGCTGCAAGTTCAAGGACCGGTCGTAAACCTACTTTTTCAGTGCCATCGTAACTTTGAACAGTTGCTGATCTAGGCAGTTGGTAAGCGAGGACTTCCTATGTACAATCAGTGTACAATCAGTGTTGTGCAGCCTATTTTAATATTTTATGCTTGCATAAGAGGGGTCACCATTATTTTTTATCATTAATATTTAAAAATAAAACAAAACTGGAATTTTCATGTTGAGAAATGACCAGAAGAATTATTGTATAACATTAGAAAGGCAAAACTGTATCTGAGTTGCAACAGCAGAATACTGAACATTTCTCACTTGAATTAAGGGGGGTGGGAGGAAAAGACAAAAAAAGGAGGGACCCTACTGAACAATTGGTCAAATGTTTTAATTTTGTGCATGTGATAAATTACCACTCCCTTCCCTACTTTCTTTTCCTTTTTTCGTATACTATGAACTGTGCTATCTCTAATTAGATAATTTGTTAAAAATCTAATTAGTTCAATGCATTTAAACACAATAAAAAAGAAACAAGCTTAAACTTAAATTATCAGCTAACATTGTCTGTGAAAGACTAATAGCTCATCATATACACAGAACCTAATGTAGCTTAGGCTATCAAAAATATGTATAAGCATGGCAGCCTACATTTTAAAAAATACTTAAGTACATGCTGTCCACAAATATTTTCATATCAAGAATAAAGGAATCTCTGCTGATTTTTCTAACCAGAAATACATAGATCAGAGTAAACATTCCCTCTACTTCTTTTGTTCTAAACAACTAACCCAGAGAAATGTTCTTTAATATTTTGTGTAAGTTTGACTCAAGGATATTGCTTTCTATGATTTAGAATTTTTTTCTCATGACCAATATGGCAACTGCCGCTCATGATTAATAAAGACAGCATGTAAGAGTAAAATGAAGGAACAAAGCAATGAATAGGTATGGAATTTGTTTGATAGGAACATTAAGACATCCTCATGGTCAACTGTATACCTCTGCTGTTTTTAGAAGAAACATCTAGACATCCATAGTATTTTTCACCTATCCCTATATTATTCCGGGGGGGCGGGGGGAGTTTTCACTTGATCACATATAATTAAAATAATGCATATACAGGATGGCATTCTACTTTATCATCTGCAGGTATTATTCTGTTAACACAGTTATTCTTTCTCTACTATTAATAGACCAAAAGTAAGGCCAGCACTTATACTCTAGGAAAAGCATGCATTAAAAAAGGTGATATACTGACAACTGTCATCACAGAATGCAAGTATACATATTTTTTCGGACAAGCTACAATATAGCCATTAACAGGTACATTCTGCCTTAGCACCAGAATTCTACGTATTTCAGCTAGTGTTAAATGCATTAAAATCATGCTTTTCGTCCTTACATTTGATTCTTAGCAGCTTGTCTCTGTGCTTTCCGTTCTTTCCTTTTTTGATCTGGTGGCTTTGCAAACACAATTTCAATGTTTTCTCCTTCTAAATCTTTGCCATTCATTCCTTCCATAGCCTATAAAGAATGCAATTTGCAATCATTCTTACCAAAGTAGTCTTATAAAAACAGCATACAAGCTATATGTATAATAAGAGGAGTACTGATGGTACTACGTAGAACACACAAGACCACCTCCTCTCCCACTAAAAGCTCTAATGCGTCTTAAATTTTCATGTGTAAGATTTCAAAATATTCTCTGCAGCCATGAAAACCAAGAACGAACATTTCTAAGCTGTAAAATAGACATAAAAACAAAAAAGTATTTTGCAATTCCACATTTGCACATAATACTAAATAAATATTAAAATTTCAAGAATTCTACAAACCAACACCAAAGGCAACTGCATGCTCATATAGTAATAAAACATATCTATTAAATAGCCCTCATACAATTATATCAAAGCCAAGTATTTTATAACTTTGAAATCTAGAATTAAATCTAGAGTTTATCAGCTGAAGGAAGTTTATACTGCATAGCTGGGCAACCAAGTGTCCAAGACAACCCCTCACTACCCCTGGAGTGAGAAGGGAGGGGAGCAGAATTTCAGTATATTTTGGACTGACTCCTAACAAAAGTCATAGCACCCACTTCACACTTTAATTCACAAAAACTATTTTTTTACAGGAATCTGACATCATTCACGTAAAATCTGAAGCTAACTGATTTACTTAGTATAATTTACTTGAGTTTACTGATTTACTATCCTGGCAACGGTTGGTCTTCTTGTTTGCTCATACTTAACAATTCTTCAGATTATTTATGAGGGCAATGGGAATTAATGGCTTTAAAATGGCAAACTATTGGGAGTGATAGTTATACCTTCCCTTATTTCTGAGTAGTAACATACAAACAGAACCTGGAATGTGACAACACAAAGGTTATAGTACATTGTAGCATAAATTTTAAGTAAGCTTATGACAGATTTCTGAAGAAACTGTCATTGAAAGTCTATTTGTGATTGCAGCAGAATATAAATGCGATAAATATCTGAGAGCCAATTCCATGTAGTAGTTAAGGTGCCGGACTAGAAACCAGGAGATTGAGTTCTAGTCCTCCCTTACATATGAAAGATAGCTGGGGAACTATGGGCTAGTTGCGCCCTCTCAGCCCAAACCAACTTACACAGTTATAGTGGGGAAAACAGGAGGTAGAAGCATTACATATGCCACTTTGAATTCTACAAAACAAAGGCACAACATAAATATAAATATAAATCTAGTACATAAATGAAACAGTTCAGTTATAACTACCAGGAATAAAAACATACCTTTACAGCGCCATCACGCTCATCAAAATGAATAAAAGCATAATCTTTTAGTTTTTTCACCCTCTCCAGTTTTCCAAACTGACTAAAAGCCTTTTCTAGTATTTCCTCTGTGACTGAATTTGCAAGATTCCGTACAAATAACACTTTCACCTAAAACAAAGCATTGCGTTAATTCATGAATCTTTGTTACCAGTGTATTATTGCAAACAATGAAACAAGCATATACACCAGATATACACAAGGTACTTATTTAGCTTTTCCAAAAATTAATTGTGATTTGGTTAAGTCATAACTGGACACAGACTAAAACTGGCTTAATTTACAAATAATTTTCTTGGCTGGACTACTGCAGTGCAATCTACGAGGGGCTGTCCTTGAACATTCAGAAGCTTCCACTGGCCCAGAATGTGGCAACATATGTAGTTTCGGGTGCACTGTGGTATGCCCATGTAACACCATTGCTATGTGAGCTGCACTAGCTTTGGATTCAATTCAAGATACTTGCTGTCACCTTTACAGCCCTACATGGCATGGATCAGGTTACTTGCAGGATTGTCTCTGGTGGTTTATGGTACAGGTAGTCCTCGCTTAACAACCATTCATTCAGCAACTGTCCAATGTTACAACAGCGCTGAACAAATGGTACTTACACCTGGCCCTCAAAGTTACAGCTGTTGCAGCAGCCCCATGGTCACGTTATCAAAATTTATGACTGCAGGGGGCTCTTCAACTGCTCCCCACCTATCTCCCATCTCTGCCCTTTTGGCCACCCTGCATGCCTCATCAGCAGTGGGAGGAAGAAGACAGCAAAGGTCAGCTGGGGTGTCAGAGGTGGCCCAAAGGGTAGAGATGGGGGTAGGTAGGTGGGATGGGGAGTTAAAGCAGAGGCAAACATGGCAGAGCAGGAGAAGTGTGAGGTCCTGGCCTAATGACCGCAACCAGGACTACCCGAAACTGCTGTCACTCAGCAGTAAGGTCACATGGTTTTGCCTAATGACATCGCTTAGTGACAGAAATTCCAGTCCCAATTAGGGTCGTTAAGCAAGGACTACCTGTAATCCCCATAATCCCCAGATCCAGCACAGTGGGCATGGTCCAGGTCCCCTCAATGAAGCAATGTCATCTGGCAGGATCCAAGAGGTGTCCCTGCTTAGCTCAGGTGGCAGTTTCTTACTGATTTTTAAATAAAGGTAAATGGGGCAAGGCCTGGCTATTACCTAGATGGAAAACAACTAGAAAAATCCCATGTGTAGGGGAAAAAACCCCCTGAGATTTGGATGGTCCCTGACACTACTGGCTTTATGGAAGACTTTGAAGATCTGGCTTTCCCCCCAGGTATTGGGGCTGTGATGTTAGCAGGGGCAGTATACACTAGTATGTTGTATTCTGTCAGATAAATGTTTAAGGGTGACTTGCCTCATTTTTTAAAATTGGTTCTTGTTTGCTTACTGTGTTTTTGTATCTTTTTGTTCATTGCCCAGAGTTACATTAGTTAAGATAGGTGGGCATATGAATTTATTTCACTTCCAGATAAAAAAATGTTCTACAACAATTTTAATTACTTTTGTGCACTTATACTCTTACAATGCTATTTTTCACCTAGGCCTTTGGCAAGGGAGAGTAAGACCCCTTGCTTCATTCCATCCAGTCTGTCATTCTTGCCATCTTTTATCTTTTTTCTTCCTTTTCTTGGTTGTATTGTAATTTGTTTAGATTGTTGTGAACTGCCTAGAGAAGGGAGTCAGGCAGCATACATGTTTAATAAATTATGTTTATATTATGATGATGAATCTAAAGCTCAGGTTTAACTGCTGCAACACAGATGTGAAGACATTATTTGCCTTAGCAGAAAGTGAGCCAAATTAACCAGGTGCCTACTCCTGAAATTCTGAAATAAAAGTGGGACTTAACATCAGTAATTAACAAAAGCCCCACCAGTCGCAGGAGCAGAATTTGGTGCAGCATCACTTAGATAAATGAGGATGTTAAGGCTAGACTAAATAAAATACTAGTTTCTCACTGAGACAAAGCAGAAGTTTAAGTCATTCTCTGAACCTGTGCCAGTTATGACTATTCACCTCACCTGTCTAGTTTGATGCATGCCCAAGCCAAAAAAAAAAAAAAAAAAAAGCATATTAGCTCACTAATAGTCTCCACTCACCATGAACTAAGTAAATTTCAAGATAACAATGCCTAAGTAATGAACACTTAAAATACAAAATTCCTCTTTCTATCCCAGACCTGTCAGCGTTGTTAGTATTAATTTGGGTGTAAACCTGACTCTACAAGGAGCAAGGAGGACAATCTGCTCCTTCTAAAAGTCATCCCACAGAGTCAAGGGACTTTTGAGGACAATTCTGGAGATGGTGCAGAAGTTTCAGAAGGAAATGTAGGAGGATTTTTCCACTGGATCAAATGCTATTAATGAAGGTGAGCCCAGGATTCAGCTCTATTATTTGCATGCAAATTAACTAAGTCTCCTAAAAAGTCCATCATTGCTAATGCTCAGCTTGAGCCTGTGATGAAACCCTGTAACTTGTGTCAACTGAAAAGCCTGCTGCATCCTTTGCTCAAAAAAAATCAAGTGAGGCAGCCAAAGAAAAAAGATCACACTGAGAACATAACATAAGAAAAACATGGAAGTTTAAGAAAACAACTTGACAAAACTGAATGCTATGCTGTAACAGACTTCATAGATAATATGCCACAGCAAAAACAGGGGGATGGTGGAAGGCTGACAAGGTGTCACCCACATTGAACGCTTACATCTTTTGACAGGGTCATGATCTAACCCCTACAGGAAAAATGAAGAAACTAGTGAACACTGTTTTATTAATGGATTAAGATACTATGAGATCAAATAAGAAAATATATAACTAAAGGGTTTAGGAAATATTTCACATTCCATGGATGAAACTGTATAAGTTAAATATAAAAACTGAAATATGAAACAGCATAAGAGAAGTGACCAATAGTTACTGGAAACTTTGCACCTTCTTTGAAAACAGATTATAAAATTTTTATAAACTATTTTGTGTAAAACATCTCATTCAGGGCAGGGACAGTAAATGTAATTAGCTATTTTACAGAACAGAATCTATGTGCTTATGATATACATCAACAATCACAATCTTCGCAAATCAGTAGAAACAAATGTACATTATTTTTACTACCCTCATAAATGTTTACCTTTGCCATCACTTCAGGATCTGGATCTTCTATGGGGTCAGCCCATTCAACTGTAACAACATTACCCCAAACTTTCACTTTTCCACTCATTAATCTACGCCTGGCTTGAGCTGCTGTTTTGTGATCTTCATATTCAAGGAAACAAAAGCCTCTGTTCTTTTTTTTGTCATCAGGTTGGTGATACAATATTACATCTGTGAGACCCTCTGAAATTGAAGCCAGTCATATACATTTAACTGAACCATTGCAGTCATAAATGTAACATTTCTAAAAATTAAAAATAGGTATTATGACATTGTTTTAATAGCTAGCTTTAAACATTTCCCTTTTAATTTGTCCCATATATTTGCTCCCATATATGGATATGTGGGAGAGTGTTACTCCAGGGTGCCAGGAGTTTTTATTGTGTTTGTGTTTTTTAAAAATGTTTTTATTATTTTGTAAGGTGCCCAGTGTTGTGGTTCACAATATAGGCACCTATATAAATCTTTTATATATATAATAAAGTTCCTCCCTGCAAAAGGTACCTGCAAAACTGTAAAGAAACTTAATTTCCAATGTAAATTGTTTCATAAAGAGAATCAGCTCCAATTTAAAAGGACAAAAGATGCACAAAGCACTTACATGGATTTGGATATGGAGCCCAATGAAATAGTTCAATCAATAAATACAGTATTTATGTCACACTATGCCAAGCTGGTATACAAGACCACTTAAAACAAGTTGTTGTGATGAAATTTTCATCTTCTGAATACTTTACAGCTTATATGGCAAGAACAAATGTCCCCCTAAAATGGTAGCTGTTCCAATAGCCAACCAACTCCATTGCCAGGGAATGCAATGCTGAAACAAATCTGGGAATGATCTCTCAAACTTCAGCAAAGACAAGTGGAACAGCAGTTTCTTATATTGTCCCCATCTCTTTTAACTTAACTTTATTCCTTATGATCTCAGTTTACAATGTCATCATCATCCAACATCAGCCGAAAGATGGTGATAAAGTTCATCACGGATCACTTTAACAGCAATTACATTATTTTATCTTCATTCCCTTCCAAAATGCTTAGTAACTTACCTGTTACTTTGCTAAATTCTTCTACAATTTGCTCCTTGGTTTTACTCTTAGGAATAGAGCCAACAAAGAGCCTATTATTGGCCACAGAGATACATACTCCAATGTGTTTTCCAGAACGAATTTCATGATTGTTATACTAGAAGAAAGAAAGTTATATAACACAGATTACTCTTAAAGGTTTACTCTACTCACTGTACTTGATAAGTTTGGCTCATATACCTAAGGAACTTGAATGTTTGCTGCTGTTCAGCTCTTATATGAAAATTTGTTCTCACTTGTACAGACCATCATAGAGGGCCCTTAGCTACATTTAAGAATGAAAGTATTAAGAACACTATCAACAAAGAATCTTGAGGAACTGTAAAGACTTATAACTCTAGTACAGAATAAACTCCAATTTACAAAACTGTATATGTAATCTATTACTAATACAGGCCAAACAAAAAATTGCCAAAATTCATTTTCTCAACGCAGATACATGGAAATGTAGGGCCCATCCCGACCTCAAAACATGGAAAACCTGACACAATTGAATAGCTGCCATCCATGTCCACTGGAACAGGGAAAATACCCAGTGAAATCTGAGCACAGTTAACCTGCCCCTCCTGACTTCCAATATGACACTTAGTGGTAACAGACCAAGCTTCAGTTTATGTTGCAGTAGGATTCCTTCCTATTTAAACTATATTTCATCTAAAATGAAACAGAAGGCATTCTTCTGAATAAGAATGAATGAATGAGAGCCAGTTTGGTATATGGGTTAAGGTTCTCGCTTAGAACCAGGAGACTGAGAGTTCTAGGCCTCCCTTAATCATGAAAGCCAGCTGGGTGACTTTGGGCCAATCAGTCTCTCTCAGCCCAACTCACCTGACAGGGCTATTGTTGTGGGGAAAAATAGGAGGCAGGAGTATTAGATATGTTCATAACCGATAGATAGATAGATAGATAGATAGATAGATAGATAGATAGATAGATAGATAGATAGATGTAGGATAGTAGTTCTTAGCAATTTTTGAAGTTTTAGTAGTTGGACAACTCATTTCAACTGTCCATGGGGGAGGATTAATCTAAGTTAAAAGATTGGATCCAGACTTCATAAACTCACGTGAATCAATGACACTCAACGTAATCATGGTTTATGTTAATTCCTGCTTAGCTCAGATTTAAAGATCAATAAGAAACTGCCACCTAAGTGGGGCAAGGCTTGGCTACTATTAGATGGAAAATAACTAGAAAAATCCCACATGCTAGGAAAAAATCCCAGAAGACAACAGTAACAAACCACTTCCATATTGTTGTCAAGAAAACTGCATGGTTGTTTCCACTTAATTTTTTTTTTAAGTTTTACTTTTTAATGTAAATTCCAGAGATTTCAGTAGTATGATTAAGCCTAAGCCCAAACTATTCAATTCCACTATCACTGCCACATTAACCTCTGATCCTTTAAAGCAGTGGACATAACTCATAAGGAACAAGATACCAAGGAATTGGCATCTTTACTGCTTAACTATTTAAGAGTGGCAGAAGTAGCTGTAATAGTAATGTGAGAACTAAGGAATAATTAAACATCACGTAGAAAAGGGAATGCAACTCTAGGTCATAATTTTTATCACAAATGAGAATAGTCTAACTAGAGTTTGAAAGTCAAACATATTTTGTTCTCAAATGACTTAATGTATCATAGTTTGATTTTATACACAAAATATATTGCACATCTGTGGGCAAATTTTTCCTACAACAGGCCCTAAAACAGAACATTTTAGGAAACACAAGAGACATGTTAGATCCAAGGGCCTTGACTTCCCATATTAACAATGGGGCTGAGTCACTCATGTAGACCAGATTTAAGCTTGTGTAGTTACTTTTTCTATTGCTGCTTTTTAATATAAATTTTATTGAATTTTTTTCAATAATAATATTTTTTTCAATTTTTTCAAGTAAAACCCATAACAGAAAATAAAGAAAAATATTAAATAGTGAAAAAAGGAAATAGCAAAAGAAACAGGAAAGGGAGAGGAGAAGAGAGATTATAAAGCTACTTCCAATCTTCTTGACAGCGGTTATAGATACATTTATATTTTACCCTTTCTCTCTAAAGTTAAATCATAATTACCTTTCCATAAACCATCCTTTCTAATATTCAAACCTATAAATCACAAGTTCATTTTTCTCTTTTTTCAGCAAAAAGTCCATAAGAGGTTTCTAACCACTAATAAATGTAATATTGATTAGACAAAAACCTTGATTAAAGAAAGATCAAGTTACTTTTTCTATTGTTGGTGCTAACAAATCCCATGAACAAAAGCACCAAAAGTATCATTTCTCCATATTTCCATATTTTTTCCATATTCAAATTCTATGCTTTCAATAAAAGCCAAGTAATAATGTGCCAACAACCCCTCAATCTGTAGCACCCAAGTTTCTATAGAATTAAAGACCTAAGAATTCTATCACTTCCCAGAAACTTCCATGACAACACAAAAGTCAGCGTCAACACAAGTCATACTACACACCTCACCATGCTGCAAACACTAATAGGACTGTAGAAAACTTTGCTTATAGGGCAGAAAACAACAGCACCATTTAGTTATGCAGAAAAGATGGGTTATACTTAGTAGGACCCTTAACAAGTTTACCAATATTTTCAATATTCTGTTGGAAAATTTATGTGTATGCTTAAATCTATTAATGGTCAGCTACTGCCGTAGAGAAAAATACCAGCCAGTTTTACCTAATACACAACAACTTTAAAGGATTATTGTAGTTTCTATACCAGCTATATAGCAATGTAACACATTTACTACAAAATAAGCTCAACTGAATTTGCTTCTGAGCAAGTTATTTCTCAGGACTTACATCTGAGTAAGATGTATTGTATAGCTTATTGAAAATTAGAATGGATAAATATTCCCCTCTTTAAAAATAATCTGTCATTCCTGGCTCAGTATATGTTGCCTTTAAATAGCTGTATGGCAAAAACATCATGTGCTGAGTATTACTAACTAGAAAAGATAAAAAGTAGGTAAATAAAAGTAGGTCTTAAATTTTAATGTGTTTAGCAGAATACACAGGTTTCTGAAAGCCACTAGGCTTAAAAAATAAATTCTATTCTATATATTACAACATAAGCAGATTAAGACATTTCTTACAAACTGTCACAATAGTTGATTTTAAATTATCACAGAAAATCATAATGAAAAACTTACCAATTTAACAGCTTCCTGAGCTGCCTCTTTGTTACAAAATGTGACAAAAGCATATCCTCTGTTTAGACCTGTCAGGGGCTCCATCATTAAACGGAGATCCCAAATAGGCCCAGCTTTTTCAAATAACGGAACAAGTTCATCCTCGAATAAGTCCCTTGGAATTTTACCCACAAATATCTGTAACAACAAACCAAACACATTTTTTAAAAGTACAGCTATAAGCAGAGAAACATATTATGTTCTCCCAAAATGCTGTATCTCATACCTCAGTGCCAACAGAAGGCTGTTGTCCTGAATAGACACACTCTGGCGGAGGACCACCATACTTCCTCTGTCCAGTAGTCACATCAAGTGTATAACCCGTTCTCTCCAAAAGTGCCTTCAAAGACAGAGTTGTAAATCAAGTGTAACCATTCAATGAATACTAATAAAAATATCCTATTAACATAGAAGTATTTATTCTATAGTTCTACAACCTGTGTAAAAAATCTGTCTTAAAAAGCTGATTTTCCTATTTCCACCAAGTGCCTCGGTATTGGGTCATGCAACTGATATGTCAAGTGTGTCATTAGCAAATCTAATATTGGAGTGTAAACCACTTGGGTAAGAACCAGTGTAATGCCAATGAGTGAGACTGTCTCATCTTTCTAACCCCAAATCTGTTACAGAAAGCTCCCCGATTGCTTGAAGAACATCTGAGCAGAACCTGGTCTATGAAGAAATAATATAACATCTAAAGAAGTAATTCATACTCCTTGCAGATGCCATTTTTTTCTGTAGAACTAGAACACTAGACACAATGTGCCTCATTTTACAGCATCCTTCTTCAATTGCCCGTTGCATTTCAAATGCTGATTCAATTAGGAAAATCCATGTATTTAGATTCTAAGAGATAAAATTTATGAATCAAAGGATGAAGCATGCAGAATCCTCCTTTCAGACAAATGGGATTAAGAAGACATAGTTCATTTGGCACAACTGCAGCAATAGGTAGTACAAGAGAATTGCTGCAGCTTTTTATGGAACACCACTTTCACCTTTCTGCAAAGGACAGCTTTACATATACAAGCATGCATCCCTTCAACCAGTGTTTCTCAACCTTGGCAACTTGAAGATGTGTGGACTTCAACTCCCAGAACTCCCCAGCCAGCAATCCTGGGAGTTGAAGTCCACATGTCTTCATATTGCCAAGGTGGAGAAACACTACCTTAGACACTACTAAGAAACACTTCATCCCCCGCAAGCACATACATTTCAATTTCATTCAACAGTATGGAACTCAAAATAAGAACAAAACAAAAATTAGAAAGTCAAAGGAATGAACCTATATTACATGCAAATGTTATATTCAAATTATTTAAGCATTTCTGAAGTAATTTGCTTTTGAGTATATCATTCTGGGTCTATTCTTAACAATAAAAATACTTTTTTGTAATTTTTCCTATTAGAACCAGCTGAGATATTTGTGAGATATATTGCATAAAGATTTAAAATCAGTGAAGCACATCCTGTTCTACTGGTTTCATTAATCACTGAAAAGTTTGCAGTATTGGACTTTTTGTACCATCAGGTTGTGTTAGAATTAAGGTACTTACAACTACTAGTTTATACATAAAATCTCAGGTTACACTGCCAATGAAGTGGCAGTAAGAATTCATGGTTATTTGTATCAGTTATTCACATATATCCTCCAGAAGCAATATATATGTGAATCCTACAAATCATAGTACCATCATAAAGTGTAAAAAAAAAAATCAGTACAGAACACTGTCTGATTATACTGTACTAGTGTCAATTTACTTATTTTAGGTTCCAGAAGTACATTATCAATGGTACTCTGCCAGCACCTCCCTTAACAGGTATGAAAGAAGAGCTATTTCTGGATTTATATGGAAGATTATATGGTAAAGTGCACAAGATACAGCTACAGAAGCATATCCTAAACATAAAAAAAACTGAGCTGGTAAGCAGCACTGCAGGACAGACTATTATATTGATTTTGAATCACATCAATCTTCAGAAAAAGACACGTGTATACCCTTGTTACATCCATACTATTAAAGTGCCATGGGCTTAAGAAAAATAGTTTCTTAAAAACATACCTTGATTTTTGCCTCATCTGGTCCTTTGCTGGAATCTGCCACTTTGGTCCCTTGTTTTTCTCGCTGTCTATATGTTTTCATGACGCCACATAAAAAGGCACTTTTGTTCTAAAATAAATGATATGGATGGATTGAAAAAGATGTGAATTGAATTTTACAACGGAGCAGCCCAGGATCAAGCAGTTTCTGTACATATGCTGAAACAAATTAAACAGAAATACTTCCATGGTACCTTACCTGAACATGAGAGAGATCACTGTCTTTAAATTGCTGAAGCACTGCCAGTGCACCTTCTTCATTAAATTCCTTTAAAGCTTCAATAGCTCTTTCATCTAAATCACTGTGAGCAACTAGCCCTAGAAAAAGAAATATTATATTCTAGAATGTTTCACGTAACTATTACGATATACAGAAGTACATCAACGTCTCAGATTAATTACTATTTAGTATTAATTATGTTAGGATCTTTTCACATATTTAAATGCCAAAAACATTAATTTCTAGTTTATTCCTACTGAAACTTTAACTGTTAAGAAATTCTGGAAAAACTAATTGCATCTGAGTTTTTTGTTTCTAAAACAAACTTTGAAACTGATGAAAACACTCAACCATTCTACTGCACTTCAAAACTATGCTTCAGAACATAACTGAACACACTGTAGCCACTGCACCCAGGAATCCAAACAGTGATCAGAAAGGTTAACCAGAAGAGATATATACAATTATTACTTCACTACACAGTCCTCCAAAGACACACAACCATAATCCAATATGAACTATTCCTAAAGGTTTACATTCCAACTGCTTTCCCTCGCCACCACCCCTTCACTCAGTGCCAAAGGCTACCCTAAACTAATAGAAAATTTGCATGTTAATACTGATCACCCAAAAAATTAAGAAAACTGCAGTCCCCATACTTTTTTGTTTGGAAACCACAAAAAGTTGCTATTTTAGCCCAAAGCAAGGAAAGTCCAATAGAAAATAGTGAATTTGCAAGTTTTACATCTTACCTGCAACGTAAATTTCATCTAGTTTTTCAGCAACTTTCTGTGGTAAACCAGCATCAAGCAATGTCTGGAAATGCTCAGAATGGGTAACTGCAGCAGAAGTATCCATGGGCTCTTCAGTACCATTCCCATTAACATGTTCAGAAGCCATGTTTCCAGATATCTGTTCAAACGCAATAAGCATAATTAAGCTACAGACCTTAAAGCCAAACAATTCGGGTGTCAATATATGCAACTGCCTACAAGATACTTGCAGAGTTTAACCCATTTTCCCTATAGCTTTTGATATAAGAAAGCTTACAATCTTTTTTTTTTTTCAAATGAAAGAACTAATAGTGCAAAGGAATATCCTGAAACCACAGCCAAACTCTCTGACTCACGTCTCTCTGAAACACGCCCTAGAAAGCTCCGAAGAAGTTATAAGTAGAACAAGCAGCAAAAGGCGGGGAAGAACGTGCAGACACCATCGCGATATAGCCATTCTCTATCTACTTTCACCCTAGCTGCTCTGTTCTACCTCTCACGAGACCCGTTCCTTGTCTACATTCAAGATGTATCGCCTTCCCGCCTCTCTGACAGGGCCTAAGCCGCCAGGCAAAAGGAACAAAGCGCTTTCTAATCCGCGCCCAATCTAGGTGGCGGCGGCTGCCGCCATAAGTCTGAGAGAAACACGTGCTCGGCGCGTTCAAATGTCTTACAACTTCCTCAAGCGACCAACTTCCCTCCCCCCCGGAAAAGCAGCCTTTCCCTCTCACCCCCCCCTTTTTCCCTCCGGGAGAAGAATTGCAACACCCTGAGCCCTATTTCGCCACGCGGATTGGGGGTGGGGGGGGAAGAGGAGAAAGCGAGAGAAGGTAAGAGAAGAAAATGAGCGCCCGACATCTGTCCGTGTCTTCCCTCCTCCCACCCCGGAACAATGCATACAAATCAGAGCTCCTCTCCTCAGCTGCTGCCGCCACCACCACCGCCCCGCCATGCGCTTCCAACTCCTGCGTGGAGAGTTGTTTCCCAAGCGAGCTTCCCCGCCGGCCCGCCCGTTACGTGACCCGAAGCAGGAGACAGCCCCAGCCCCACCACCACCGCCACATCGGCGGCGGCCGCGCCGGGGGGACCTGCCCTGCTCCTTCCCCCCCCCCCCACCCCCCCCCTCCCGTACCGAACCCCAACGCGAGAGCCCCCCCCCCCCCCCACCCCACCGCCTCATCGGCGGCGGCGGCGCCGGGAGTCCCTGCCCTGCTCCTTCCTTCCCACCCCACCCCACCGGCGCCTCGTGGCCAATGAATGGCGCTGGCGCCTGGACAATGAGGCACTTGGAGCCTTTTCGAGGACGGGGAGAAACAGGCAAGCGCGCGGAAGGGGTCCCGCACTCGCGCCATGCCTCTGGCCTAGCGTAGCCCGCCGCCAGGAGTCCTGGGTGCCTCGGAAGCGGTGGCGGCAGCAATACTGGCTGCACTGTCCAGGCCGCTGGCTCAAACCGTCCTCTTTGTTCAAGCCTCGCTCCATTTCCGACGAAGGCCGGCTCCCCCCGGGCACCCTTCCCTCGCGGTGTCTCCAGCCCGCGCCCGCTCCCTCCTCCCCGGGAGTTTTTTGGGATCCCCTTTTCCGTGCCCGACTCCCTCCCTCCCTCCGCCTGACAAGCCCCGGCGGTGGCTGACCTGTGTGGGTGAGCGGCGGGGGTGATGGGGGGTAATGAATTTCTGAATGGCTCTTTTGTATCGCTGAGAACATGAATAGGAATACTAGTAACGATAGGTAGCATATAAACATTGGAAGTATTCACTACTGTAGTTAAATAGTGAAACATCACATTTATTTAGAATGCACTCAGATCAGTGCAGGATGATCTTCATGGCAGGATATAATTCCAATTCAAGTAATTCACATTATCATTGTTATCAATCAGTTAAACAGGTCTGATAGAGTGGCGATGAAATACGATGTGAATTTTGCCAATTACTTCTGCCAATTACTGTTAAAAAGGACAGCTTTTTGTGCCTAAAACATAGTAATAATACCATGCAAAACTGGCTAGAAAATAAGTTCTGCAAGAACTATGTAACTATCATAAAAGGTGAATGCTTGATTATGTGCCATCCTTTTTTTACTCTTAGCAACCACATAGATTTTTCTCCATGACCCTAACCTGGTCCTTCAGGTTTTCCAATGGTGCGCACATCACCACTGTAACCCAGTCCATCCACCTTCCTGCTGGTCATCCTCACCCCTTTAAACTAGAGGCAATTACTTTGTCCAGGGAACTGCAATGGCTTCCTCTTCTATGTAACATTCATTTTTTTCCAATGGAAGTAAATGCAAGACAGCACACTGCAAAATTACAACATGCTATATAATATTATATAAAACTATAGGCCCAGTCCAATTAAGAAAACTTAGTTTAAAGGCTAGAGAGGCCAAATAGGAAAACATTCATTGAAAAAAAAACTAGATTTGTGAATATTAGAGGCGAGGGTTTTGTTTGGTGATTCCAGCTTTACAGAATTCATTCCACATACAGTACACGGCTATCTGTCCACCTTTTAGAGGGCAGCTAAGAACATTAGAAATACCAGCTCAATTTTTTCTTCTAAAAACTGTCATAATGTTTAAGTAGGGAAGGGTTATAATTTTGGATGCAAAGCTGCAGACTTCTACAGGGTGCCTAGCCTATACTTTTCTTTCTGACCAGTTGATCAAAATAGACAGCAGTTTGGCCTTCAGTCAGATCACTGAGTTCTTTCTGGTAATGGAAAACAAGCACTATACAGTAGTGTGTTACTAGGAGAAAAACGTACATATTCCTTTCTCCTGGCAAGCCTGCTGAAAATTGCTTGTTTTCTGCTCCCATTAGCTGGACGCTAATAATCTTAAATATAATTACTGTATCTGTGCTTAAAATTGCTGGAGTCCCCCAGCCACTGTTTTCCAACAATTACTCCCAATATTACAAAGATGAAGTATGGTACATGTGAACACCAAGGAGACATTTTAATTGACCCCACTTCCACCTTAATAAGGGATTCAGAAGGAAATAAAAGTATAAATTGTTTTACTGGATTTGTGAAAATTACATGAACACTTGTGGAAATACAGTTCTAAGTGTGTTTTATATGTTAAATAAATGTTTCTGAAATTGAAAAAGCTTGGACTGGATTTTTCAGTGCTACTCAAAACTACAGTAATTGAACCAGCAAACCAGTAAAACATCAAGTGGACTCGATAAGAACTGTCTTCTACAGAAACTATTGCTTCACAGTATTGTCTGCATTGACTGAAAGTAAACCTGAGATGTGTATAAAGTGCCAGTTGTGCTGTCCTACGTGCTTTCCCTTAAAGGAAATTATGGCACCTACAAAGTATTTCATAGGGTCAAATTGCATGCCTCCACTCCTTTTAAATGAAACTGTGTCAGGCTCTTTACAGAACAATCATCTGCAGAGCCTAAAAATACTATTCATGATTCCGTCTTTGTAGATACAGCACTTTGTCTAAATAAAGCTAATCCAATAAAGCCTTATAGATCTGAATCTAACTTTCTACACACTTGTAGAGGAGCTTGGTGTGTCCAGTAAAGAGACAATCACAAACTTGCTCAGGTTTGGTTCTTGTTTTTAGTTGTAATTGTGTTCCTTATATGCAGTTTGGGGAAAGGTGGTTTGTATTGGAATGGATTTAAAACTCATTCTACCATGTATATTTTGAACTTTACATAGGGTTGAGTGAAGAACCTGTTGCCCAAGACTGATTTCCTTTTAAAACACTAGCCCAGACAGGTACCACCATGTCACACATTAGAATACAATTATATTCAGTATAATTGTATGTTGGTCAGGTGTGGCTGAGCACTTACAGCTTTTCAGCTATGCCCATTTTTAAAATCAGTCTGTCAATTATGTGTTTTTCATTGTTTGGACAACTGTAGTTACAATATGCAGATTACTGACTGGAGTTTGAAACCTTCTGGTGACACTTTAAGTGTCCTTCCTTCAGATATATAAACTCTCCCAGGTTTCTGTAGAATTTCCAGATACTATTATTCTGTACATCTAGAGACACAAATCCCCTTTAAAGACATAAACATGTCCCAGCAAAGGGGACATCTGGAGGATTTAGAATTCCTTTTATAAGTCATGCTGTTAAGAGAATTTCATACAAATAGGCATTACAGTAATGTCCCTACCCTTTGGCCTCAAATATTACTGAAAGTAACTACTCTGCTTTCTGAAATGTTTCCATTTATCCCACCCAATAAATTTTCATCAACATTAGTCCAATCTGGTGCATTAAATCTTTTATTTTGATAACTTATTATATAGGACCACGATTACATTCTCTTTAAGGAAACACTTAAGGTATTTAACACTTTAAGGAAATGCTTAAGGTATTAAACAGAGTTATACATTTTTAATGGACTGCTAATTTCCAGATTGATTTTCTGCAAATCCTTGAGGATCATTAGAGCTCACACATGATGTAACTTCAGCGAACACTTCAGATTACGTTCCCCTTTGACTTCAACACTGTTAATAAAAATAAATGGACAAATTCAGAAGATAGAACACACCAATGTATACCTTACCACATGCCCATGCTCAAAAAACCTAATGTGCTTAATCTGAGTAAACACAAATCACACTACTCAGAATTATCATCTATCTCACTGCACTGTGTCGGCTAAACATCCATTTAAGAACAAAACACATATAAGAAAATGCCTATATCCTCTGGTATAATGTTAGGTATTTGCATATATGGGCATTCACAAGATAGTGAAATATTTGCAGTAAATTTTCAGCAAGAATAAAGCAAGTGGAGTAGAATTCTTGTTTTATTGCCTGGATATTTTAATGTTTGCAAACTATTTTAAATTCTGGGCCTTTACCCATTACAAAGAGTATTAATTCATTCACTGGAACCTTATCAGTATTGAATCCAGCTGGTAATTCATTTAATTCATATTGCACATCATCTTACCTTTGGTTTTTTTTCAGCAAATATGGCAGTCTTTAGTCCAAGAACACTCTTGTATCACTGTTTAAAGAGCAGTAACGGAATACCTTAATATCTTATAATGAGCAAGGTTATATATATAAAATCTGATGGTCTTTAATTAATACTAGTTAGCACATCACATTTTTAGGTCACAAATGGGGTCTCTAGAATAGGCCTGCCCAACAAAAGCCCTCCAATGATGGAATGCAGCTCCCATCAGAACGATGAGCTTATAAAATTACTTTTAAATTTGCACAGGACTGCAATTGTATTTCACTTTCACCTAAATTAAACCTAGTAGTAAATCTGAACACAGTAATCCAAGATATTCCACTCACTTGATGTATGTTAGGAATCAGAAACTGAAGACTCAAGACCAAATGTGTCCCAGCTGCTCCCTGAATTTCATCTAGAAGTCAAAATAGCATCTGTGTAAGAGAATATTCTAGCAGCAATGTTTCTGCATACCAAATTCCAGTTGTATTAATGGCAGTGTAACCTCAGAAGCCGGATCCAAATTGGCATTTTTTCATCAAGAAATCAGGTTCGGGATAGGCTCATCACCGGTTAGGCCATTCCAATTTTTTTTACTAATAGTTTGCACACATACCTTCATCTTAAAAGTAGTGATATCAGACCTGAAAAGAGAAAATGCAAGTTAAACTCTTATTCCATATTTTGCATTTCTAGTAAAAGACAAGTTGTTTACTCTGAGGTGTTCAAACAGGAAACAACAGTCTGAAACAAATTTACTCAACTAATCAGTTACATGGCGTTTTAGTACAGATGCAAGACCATAAACAAATGCCAAAAAGGAAAAGCACATTAACTGAATGGCAAATTATGGCTTGCAAAGCCAGCCTTGTATTCTTTACATTCTTAAGTTGTCCATCCATCAGCAAAATGAATTTTCTGTCTCTGCAATCTTCCAAATCAGCTCCAGAAGGCTGAGACCCCCTCAGAACAGATTTGAAAACTTCCATTAAACAGGAGAAATATGTGACTATCAATGTAGGCCTAAATGATTCCGACAAGAATGCTATTTCATCACCAGGAATGTTTCTTTACAAAGCGTACAGCCATATAGATTTATTTCCATCACTATAACCTCTCCAACTGGGAATGATACCATTGGAAAGGAGGCCTCTATACATATGCATTTTTCATAAAGAGAGCCAGTTTGGTGTAGTGGTTAGGGTACTGGCCTAGAAACCAGGGGACTGAGTCCTAGGCCTCCCTTAGGCATGAAAACTGACTGGGTGACTGTGGGGACTCTCTCAGCCCAACCCACCTGACCTGGTGGTTGTTGTGGGGAAAATAGAAGGCAGGAGTATTAAGTATGTTTGGCATCTTGAGTTGAGCAATTTTTTTTAAAAGGCGGGGTAAAAAATATAATTTCAATCCAACAGATTTATAAAATTTCATATATAGTGAGGGCAAGCTCTTTTAATGGTGATAAAATGATTTCAGTTGAAGGTAAAACATCTCTGCAAGACATATAGCATATGATCAAGGATTAATTTTCATCAGGCCACAGTAACTTCAAATGGAGAATTTACACTAGGTAACTACAGGGTCTGTCCCCCACTAAAAATAATTCTCACCAAAACCATTCTTACATAGGAAAATCTATTCTTACCCAGCAAATATTCCATAT